AATATTTATAATGACATAGATTAAATCTTAGAGGCGAAAAAAACTGCCTATTTTATAACGACTGGAAGGTATGAAATAGCTCATGAAATACTATATATAGACATTATAATTTCTCATATTTAGTTCTAATATAATATTATCTTGTCTGTGGTTTTAGTAACACGAGGAACTGTGCAAATTTAAAATAATATCCATAATCATAGGCAATTAAAATAGTGCTTACTATATTTCAATAGAATTAAATTAAAAAATGTTAATTCTTTATGATGTTTTGAATTCAAGAAGAATATTTTCTAAATATATGTATAAAGGAATTCCTTTGCCAATTTTAGACGATTGAAAAAGACAAAATTCTCAAATTACCCATGTTATACGATGTAACGCAACTTCCTCTACGATCTCCATGAATCTTTTTGTTAGAGCATATACTGTGCTCAATATTAATTTGATTTAATATAGCAACAGCATGTTGAGTTACATAACAATTGAACTTCTATTTTTTTGTAAAAAAATAAGATTTTATATATTGTAGAATAATGCACGACATACAAAAAAGAAACACGTCGATCTAAACTGAATTGCAAATAATGATAATTACGACAATTTCATAAGAAATCTAAAAGACGTAAAAACGTAATTTCATAATAATGATAAAGTTGTTTTGATTTGGTAGCTTCTCCATGTCGATCTCATAATGCTTAAGTAACAATTGATCTAAACTGAATTGCAAAAAATAATAATTCTCATTTCATACGACAATTTCATAACAAATCTACCTAAAAGACGTAAAAAAATTATGATATTTTGATCTGATTTGAGTTGATATAGCTACTCCATATTGATGTCATAATAATTAAATAAAAATTGATCTTCTATTTTCTGTAACAAAGTCTGTTTACTATGGTACTATACGTCTTTAAAATGAACATCACAACTAAATTGCAAATAACAGTAATTCTCATTTCACACGTTAAATTCATAAAAAAATTCAATGTATTGTATAATGTGTACATGACTAATAATATTATTTCCTGTTTATCGAGTGTTATTTGTGTATAAACTCATTATCGAATCGAGTTGAACTTACGCGGCATTAACATAAACATGAAGACAAACAATGTATTTCCAAGTTCTCGATTCTGTGCACCTGCACCGGCGGCGACATGACAAAGCTGCTGGCCCGCTCGTATTCAATTACGGCCACAGACTATAAATACGGCCACAGATTATAAATACGACCACAGATTATTAAGACCAGATACTGAACTACATTCATATGCCTTGAAAAGATTGCTTTCAGCAATAAGGCCGTTTTATTGTAGCGATACATGTGTCCTTTGTAATATTGTTTGTACCTCTTCTTTACTGTCTATTGCAAATAAATAAAGTATATTCTATCTATCTCGGTGGTCTAGCGGTTTAGCACATTGATGATCGCGCGTTCGATTCCTCGCATGGTACACACATTTGTATTCATAAGTATGACTGTTTATATCGGTCTGGATGTTTTCTACGTATATTATTCTATTTACAGTTATCAGTTGTCTAGTACTCTCATAACACAAGCTTTGCTTACAGTGGGACTAGATGACGCTGTGTTAATTATCCAGGGTTAAAAAAAAAGAAAAAGAAGTTTGGTTTATAAGCGTTTGGATTGGACGTGAGATATGGTAGCTAAGTCACGGTGTAATATAACATCTTAGTTCTCAAGGCAAACATATATCATTTTAGTTCGAAAGATGATGCACAAGGGAGTACCAGTGCCGAGACATGATGTGGTGCTATTAGTGTATATAGGTGATAGTTGCTGCTTTTCAAGATATATAAAAGATAGTTCCATACAAATATTTTATGAAATACCAGAGGGATATGATTAAATAGGTTAAAAATAGATCAACACAAATAGCTCACAGAAAAATGCTGTTACTCATTGCGAGAATTGACATAACATTCAATATTCTCATTATTACTTTGTTAAGGAGAATTGCCTCCGGATTGTGAAACCAACATGTCATCATCTGCTTCTTTCTTACCCCATTTATTTGTGGTCGGCGTAATATGTTATTCTCTTCCATTCATCCCTGTTCGCAGTCATCGCGTTATTTACTTCCTTTCTTACCATATCATCTTTCACACAGTCCATCCATCTCTTTTTCGGCATTCCTCTGCCCTTATAACCATCCACATTCATATGTAACACCTTTCTTAAAATATTATCCTCATTGCTACGCATTACATGTCCAGATGTAAAACCAACATGTATACCCTATTTTGTTGTAAGAATTAAGCTGTACAGAAAACTCCTTTAATATAATAGGTCCTCGATGCGACCTCGCGTATGTCTCTGGGCAGTGCCTGAATATCAGTGGTTTGCCGATTGCATGCAGTAAACAATACACTGAGGTGCTGCTTTTTTGCGTATGGGCTATGCATACACACTACGTTACTCATACCGTTTCTTTTGTATCTGTGTTGTATTGTATTTTATCTGTATATTTGTTGTGTATTGTATTTTGTTTGACTTGAATATCTGTTTTTATTTTTGTTCTTAATATTACGGTGCCTTTAACGTGAATAAATTTTTATCTATCTATCTAAAACAGTGTTTAAGCAAATAAATTATTTATTTATCTAGGTATTTAAAGTTGAAATTAACCGTCTGACCATCTGCCTCGCCAACGAAAGAGAGATATTAATGGAAATATTGAGAAGTATCTCTCGCCTTAACAACATCCTTCAATTACAAAAAGAAAATTAAAAATGTTTAATCTCAATTGATAGGGATCAAATCGCGCGTCTGTTTCATAACCAAATAATCTAAGGTTACTAAGATTGTGGAATGGTAGCCGAGCACGCACCGTTTACTTTTTATTCTACATTTTTTTATCTGTAGACTAATGGTGTTTGCATAATGTCTAGAAGGGCCCAAGATTGCAATTCGAGACTTCAGTTTTAAACATTGAGCGGTTGGAAGTCGTCAATGATAATATTTATATTCTAACTCCATGGGATTAAATCGATTGTTTATCGACTGATTCATTCTCGATTTTAATGTTCTCCCTTAGATTGACTTAAGCGCTGTATACACATCTCTATATTCGGGGCATGTCAGCAATACTTGTAATATTATATGATACGATTTTCTTTATACTATAAACTGTGTTTTCTTAATTATAAGTTTATTTTTGTCTTAAATAAGCAATTTTTAGTGATGGAAACATTTGCAAGGTTTTTCATATTAACCTTTTAGTTCTCTTAAAAAGATAACTTGCTAAGCAAGCTAGTGGCGGGAAAATTAGGTAATACAAAACACAGAGCAATTAACAGTAATAGAGTTGGCACCGCGTTTATGACATTTGAACTAAAATATTCTATGTAACATTCTGTAATAGTTATAAAAGAGAAGAGATCATATATAATAATATATATAATAAATAACGAGAAGAAAAACTTGCACACGCGCACTAAATCATAACGTAAAAACAAAATTTTGTTCCGAATGAAGTGAGCCTATTACAATAGTAGGTAGCTACACAGAGTATACCTATAAAATCGAATAGAATTAGTTAACTAGAGGTAAGTATTGTACATACTTACAATACAACCTGTTTAGTACTGAACTATATTTATAATTACTTTTATGTTTCTAGATACATAAAAAATTGGCCACGCAGACGACTATGTCAAAAATGTATGTGTCTAAATTATAAATTACTTGTTATGTAATATTATAATTAAACCTATATATGTGTACTAAGATACAAATAAACATTAACTATCTATCTAATTTAGGAAATATTAGGTTATCTGTGCTCTTAATATAAACAAATATCAACTACAAGTAAATCAATGCTCACTAGTACCAAAGATTGTAATTTAACGCTGGCAATTAACCAATTATCAAGCGACACTACACAATTGGCTATGTAACTCGATCCACCACTTGCCGTGCTTAAATAAAGCAATATCTGTCACTGGATGACGGATATCGGGTTACGTAAGCTCGTGAGCGCGCGAGGCGCCATTTTGGCGAAAAGAAATGAAATGGATACTTGTAAATATAAAAACGTATTGTCCTTATGAAGTTCGTATGTTCTCTGTTGAAACTGTATAGGTTCGGGATATAGTTTATTTGAATAAGTAAATATTGACTGTGTTGACGATTTTGTTTTCTAACCTGTGGTTGCTTAAGGGAATGGACAAACCCCTGAATATGTTGTCCTCCACTCAGTTCCCTGGAAACCATCGTAGTAAATTTCTAGGTGGGCTAACTGACCTGACTTCATGCTCATTTTATCATCCTCCACTGGAGCCGCTAGCGTGAACCATTAGCGCAGGCGGGAGAACCATACCATTATCATAAAAAAACCTGTGGTTGTTTTGTAACTGCAAAATTAATGTTATATCTATATTTCTATAATATATATGGGATATAGTTACACTTGTAACACAACTTATGGGTTGCCATCTCTAAGAACTGCTGCGATGAGGCTATCCAGACAGGGTTACCAACCTTTGATAGGTTACATAATTATTTGGATTATATCTCTGACGGCTTCTAAGATATCTATCGCTTTAGTAGACCACTTTACACTTCCTATATTAGGTTCGATTATCGCACGGTACATAAACAGTTTTTTTTTCAGGAATGTTAGTGTTTTATACGTAGATATTATTGTACTTACAAAACAATATATATTTTGTTGTTATAATTGTTTAGTTTGAGACTAGACGGCACAGTTTAACACGTTGAAGACCGCATTTTTTTTTTATTGTTAGTTACGTATATTATTTTTTAAATATGTTTTTAGTGTACTTGAGATAGATATTATTTAACACCTAAATTTATTTCAATTAAAGCGCCCACGGGTGACCCTGTCCCAACGTGTTTTACTTTCGTTGCGTAGTGACCCACCAGTGGGTATTCGGTTAACGTGTCAAATTATTCTGGATCATTATGCTGAAAATCCCAATAATAAATGAACATATCGCCGACTCACTGGCAAACCTGGGGTCGTTCGAGGCGGGGTACCAGCCGGCGCCGCGCATGTCCCCGTAGTGGGGCAGGTCCGTGGGCGCGCAGCCGTAGCCCTGCACGGGCGCTCCGCCGTACAGCGGGACCGCGTACGGGTTGCCGGCCATACCGCACGAAGCAGCCGGTCCCAGGGGCGAGTTTATACTGCTCCCAGATGAATTTGATCTGAAAAGAGGTCAATAATTAGTTTTATGTCTCTACTATATACCGACATTATTATTATTACTACCAGGAAGGGTATTATTATTACTTTGTATCTATATATACACTAGCTGTATTCAGCGTGGAACTTAACTTTATTTTTCTAAAATAAAAGATTATTTTTAAATAAAAGTAGCCTAAGTTACTTATTACATCAGCTATCTGCCAATAAAGGTCCCGACAAAATCGGCCAGCCATTTCAGAGATTATCCGGAACAAACGGACAGACAGTAAAAATTTGTAAAAAATGTTATTTTGGTGTATGTACCGTATTTATATTCATATGCATGTAGTAAAAGACGGTTATCTCAATATTACAACAGACACTCCAATTTTATTTAAATATATGTATAGATTATATATTTCCCTTTTTACGGGGGTAATACGTTCAAACACGCGTGCCTTAGCCAAGCGTGGATGAGTTTAAACGTTATATAAGGATGATGCATGGGATGTAGAAAGAAAATTCCTTACGATTTGTGTTGAGAGTGACGGCTTTTTGTAATAGTTCTATTGTAGAGGAGTGGATTTGCAACGATTCAAATTCAAATTCAAAATATCTTTAGAATAGAATAGAATAGAAATTCACGTCAGTTCGGAATGATTTCGAGATCAGAAGAACTGGCAAGAAACTCAGCTCGTATTTTTTTTAATGTTGTACATATTTACAATAATACTATTTCATTTAAATTCAAATTTGGGAGAATAGAGTGACCACCAGCATATGCTATATAAAAAAAATCAAAAAATCTAATCAGTGTTCGCAACCTGAACAGACCAGTCCCCACAAGCAGCACCCGTTCACGAGTATGACGGATGAGCCAGCCATCATTGCACTCAACCATATTAGAGGGAGCACATCGACCCGGCCCACCACGCCGCCACAAGTTTGAACTTTATAGCGAGCATGACTGTTTCAAGTTACTCCACTACGTCATTTATATTATTTACAGTATAAACTGTACCAATCACAGCAGTGTATTTGCTGAGACCTCTTGGTATAATTCTTGTGGATGACAGAACTATGGGTACTAAATGGATGGTGTGTGCTTTCCATTGTATTTTTTAGTTCTATTGAATAATCTATATACTTCGTCAATTATTTATTAATCATTGGTACTTTGTATATTTATTATTGTTATTGTTATTAACATTTGAATATATTTTTAAATGTTAAATTTATATAATAATCTTGAATTTTAAATGCGATACAATAATGTATTTTTATTATCACTATTATTACCAGGAGGGTTATTATTATTATTATCTATTAATTTATGAATATTTGTACATTTTTTAAAATATTAGTTTTATAATAATTACTAGCCCGTAGCTTGTCTCGCGTTAATTTATCCCCTTAGGGGTGGAATTTATCAAAATCCTTTCTTAGGGGATGCCTACGTCCTAGTAGCTTTGTGCATGCAAAGTCTCAGCCTGATCGGTTTAAAATTTCAAACAAAGTTCCATACAAACTTTCTTCCCCTATTTTATCCCCTTGGGGGTAGAATTAATCAAAATCCTTTCTTAGCGGATTTCTACGTCATAACATCAACCTGCATGCCAAATTTCAGCCCGAACCATCCAGTGGTTTGGGCTGTGTGTTGATAGATCACTATGTTAGTCAGTCACCTTTGAGTTATATATATTTAGATCTTGTATTTTAAATTCGACTCAACATTCATTGTTAGGAATTCATAAAATAAATAAATAGACAGCGACTTGTACCTACTAAGTTAACTGCATTGGTACCTCAGCCTAACGTATTCTTTCAGCGAAATAGCTTGCTTATAAGCTACGATGTACAGCAGTAAAGTTACTGGGAACAGAGCGTGATACCTTTAGGAATAGAATAGAAAATCATTTATTCAAATAAACTTACATTGAAGCACTTTTGAATAGTCATCACATTTTTTTTAATCTACCGCTCATTCGAAAACTGTCTTATCACAAGCAGAACGAGGATGAAACTTGTGTGTTGCTCTTTTAAATAATTTTATTCTTACTTTACAATTTAAGTTTAAGTGTGTGAATACAAACTACCGATTAGCACTAATTCAATAAAATAATCAAGTGGAAAATATATGAAATGAAAACTATTTCAAGCATTGTACGGACGTGACGTTTGTGGACCTGTTCATGTATATAGACGACGAATACTTTTCGCCAACCATTATATTATTAAACATTCTAGTTATATAAAAGAAAAAATTTGATAATAAAAAACTACAGCGTGCATCATAGACAAATATAACCAAGTTAATATCGATACAGTTAGAGGTGAAGTGATTAAAGTGATACGTAAAGGAGAGTTGTAAACTACAATAGGTTCGAGAACTTTTTTGGGACCGAGAATATCTCCAATTCGAACTTCTAATTTGTAAATAAAAATTGTTCTAACCTATTTAAATTGAAGAACTGTATTTGTATGAACGTTTAATTTAGATAGATAGATATAGTCTTTATTCATCAATTACAAACACATAACATACATGAGTTACAGATAAATACATGAATTATCTAATAAAAGAAATGTAGGTGACTTTATGTACCTCAAAAGTGAAGAGGCAGCCAACTCAGCATAAAGCTACAGATAAATCTGCAGCTCTGATATTCTATTGGCTCCTATATAGCGTATCAAATAGCCCAGTCTTATATAAGTAAATATATTTGTATAATATTATAAACACGAAGGTTTGTGAGTATGGATGTTTGTTACTCTTTCACGCAAAACCTACTGAACGGATTTTGATGAAACTTTACAGTCATATAGCTTATAAATCAGAATATCATAAGCTATAAATTTCGCGCAGGTAAAACCGCGGGCACAGCTAGTATTAAATAAATAGGCTTTAAATTTACAGCACAGCTTGTAATAAATGAATATAAATAAAAGTCTATCAAAATAAGGCACAATCGATTATTTCAGATTACCCTGATTTTGCTTTAATTTATTAATTAATCACTCATAACCAGTTCACCCAAATCTCCCACACAGCATAATGACAAGCCAACGCTGGCAGCGCCAGGCGCCAACTCGTCACTTCCGAACAATAGACAGCTTATCTCACTAATCCCTATTTACACAATTTAATCTCCTTGCCCTATCCTATAGGCCCATCCACACAAATTCACTTGAAAAAACCGTCTAACAGCGATTCTGTACCATAAAACTAAGCATATAAGGATTAACACCATCATTTTTCGCGGCAAAAAGTAACGTCGACGATAAAACAGCCCCGAGCCGCCATTACGATGTTTGATTTGACAAATTGAGTTTTGACAGGGCGGGAAAATTTCGCGCGCACCGTTTTAGGTTATGCCGTTTTAATTGAGGATAATTTGGTTTCGTTCGGGTTTGTTTTCTTATAATTCGGGTGACTGTTTTGTTAATTTAATTGGTTGTGGTTGTAATTAAATTAGTTAATAGCCTAGACTAGTGTAACTAAATTAGTTACAAGTAATTTAATTACGAATTGTTTGTTTTAAATTAGAAATAAAATACATAGGTATTGCATATTAAGTACATAGTAACATAGAAATAGAAATGGTATGGTAAAAAATTCATAAGAACCTAATTCAATTGATTTTCTTAACATTCCTAGAATAAAACAAAGTATATTATTATATCTTATATCTTTTAAATTACGCAGAAAATTTCCAGGGCCGTAAAATACTTAATAAAAAAAAACAGATTTCAATGCAGTTTCCAGCAACAAATAGACTGATTCAAGAGGAAGTTTTTCTATTTATTTACAACAAAAATATCTAATTATTTATATCAGTTGACTCGTCCTTATAACACAAGCTCTGCTTAGCTTGGGATTAGATGGCGCTGTGTGAATTGTATAATAACCCTATTATTATTAACAGCGGATTTATAGAAGAATGAGAGCAATTCTTTCACTGTTTGAAAGAAACGTTATATCAGAGTGACAGTCTATACATTAAGCTAAAATAATACACAAAGTGTTTTAACAAACAAAGTAATAACCACCCGGCCGAAACCGGAACCAACCACAAGTGGTAACCTACTGTTAATAATACTGCGGTTATTGATCTGAAACTACGGAGCTGTCTATAGCGCTGTTTATATTACTTGAGGATTACTACTGTTCATCAGGTAGCCCATAACCTGTTCGGCATCAGGGATCGTAAAAAAAAATTAAAGCACACCCTACTAAAAATCAACATTAGGTACAGCGGAGAAAAAATGAATAAACGCGCTGCCGTCATAGCCGACGGGAGTTCGAAATAATTACGTCAAACGACAAACATCTCGGAATGGAAACAAACATGGTATCTAATTTAAATTCATGCACACGTACCATACCTTCTCGACAGAAATTTACATAATGGTTTTTGCTTACTAGCAATTTGAGTAGTTTCACGCCTACGCTCAAGAGGGCATTACCGTAATACTGAGTACCTGACTTTGCACCGAACAAAACTATATTCTGATACGTTTTGTAGCCCGCGGTTTCACCTCAGAATGTCTCATTATAACATGAGACATTCTAATAATCTCACTTAATAGATATACATAGACAACATAATATACATAGAAAACATACTGTACATAAAAAACATAATATACATAGAAAACACCCAGCCTTATAGAAACAATCATACTCAAAATTACAATTGTTTGCACCATGTGCGGAATCGAAGCCGCGACCTTTAACAGCGAAACTGTGTGCTAAACCGCTCAACCACAGAGGCCGTCGGTGTCTAGATGTTTAGCACTAGATATACCTACATCTATACAGTACAGTGCGTCTATACATCTATACATATAAATAAAATTGGAGTGTCTGTTTGTAATATTGAAATAACCGTTTTTTATTACATGCATATGAATATAAATACGGTACATACACCAATATAACAATTTTTTACCATTTCTGTCTGTCTGTCTGTTCCGGCTAATCTCTGAAATGGCTGGACCTATTTTGACGGGAATTTTA